TGTTCAGCTTGTTCACCTCTTTCCAGAACCCTGAAATATTATGTGGGTTCGCAACAAGCTTATCAGCCAGAGCTTTTGCTCTTAGCTCCTTCTCGTTCCTCAAACAGTGGCGCAGAGCATACTTAAATCGCGATCTGGCTAAGCGTAGCTGACAATAAATGTAACCTTCCCTAGGTTTTCCCACTAGTGCCCACAGTGCATACAAATCGCAAAGAATAATATGCGCGTCCTTAACAAAATCATTCCAGCCCGGAATGTTACGCCTAAATTTACCTCCTAGCTTTTTGGAAATGGTCGTTTTAGAGGCGTTCAGCATGGAATTGAGAATACTTTCATAATACTCATCAATTAAAACACTATGTGTCACGTCAGAACAGGCGCCGCAGTGCAATAGCTCATAAGGAGTCTCAATTTGAGCCAAATTATTAGTGACAGCAGCGGTATACTCCTTGAGCTCATTAGGACTCAACGACATCCAATCAACAACCCATCTATCAGCTGCTGCTGTCTCAGGTTCAACGATATGTGGATGATTTATAGTGGAGCATTACATCTGCTGTGTTACTGATGCCACAATAACTGAGCAACAAATGTGAAGATGGTTCATTCTGGCAATTGGACACATTTAATTGTCAATGTTTGGATTAAACACCCTGCAACTTTGGTGTAATGGCGTCATTGTGCATCAGTACATAAGGTGCATGTTAGTGTGTACTGTGTAGGTAGACATGTTATTGGCCATTACATATCCGGGGAGCTTTTTTATACGCGGAACAATGATTTTTAAGCTACTAAAGCTTGATACCCTCTATATGAAATTCAGGGAAACGATTGTTTCCATTTTTGACCCATATTTCTAAATATAACCTTTTGTTGCTTCACCAACATCCTCTCTTCATTTAGATGCTCCTTTTGAGGACAAATTCATTGTATTTTAGTCTAGGTGTCATTTCCGTCTCGCCCATTCTATCGATCTCCTCTGTTCAGCCGCGGGTTGTCCTGTGACCTACCGGCTGTCCCTGAGGAGCAGCTCTAGTGCGCCCCGCCCGCAGAGGGCCGTCCCGGAGCGGAGCTGGCGGCTGAGGGCCCGTTAGCGGAGGCGCCGAGAGCTCCTGTCGACACCAGGCCCCGCCCCATGAGCGACAGAGGGCGGTCCCAGGGCCCCGGGCCACCGGACGGTAGCGGCGGCGCCCGGCGGGCGGTCGGCAGCCACTCGCGCAGGACCGGCTGTGCCGACAGGGTCCGACAGGTGCCCCAGGTGCCGCCGGTGACTCCGGGACAGGACGGCACCGCTGCCAGCTCTGAGGGCGCAGAGACACACTGGACAGGAGTCAGCTGTAAAGGAGGGAGGCCGTCCCAGCGAGTGGTGCCGAGTAGCACGGATCTCCGGCTGAGTTGTCTGAGGAAGAAGTGTGTGAAGAGACTTACCGATGAACTTTTGCGCGGTGATGTCGGGACTATGATTGATCTGGTGATCTCGGGACTGTGAGAACTCGAGGAGCTCGCTGAAGCGTCCGCACCAGTGCCCTCAGCGCCGTGGATCTGTCCAAGGGGTCGCAGGCGCCGGCGGTTTTACCGGAGGCGCCAGAGACTGCACCCGAGGCCTCGGTGAAGTCACTCAGCTCTCCACCCTCGGCATCCGGAGGTCGGTCAGCGTCGGCAGCTGAAGCGGCGTCGGTGACGTCTCCGTCGGTGCCGGCGGTGGCGGCGGCGGCGGCGGGCGCTGCGGAGCGGTGGGCGGCGGCGGCGGTCCGGCCGCACTCTGCCACCCTGGCGGACTCGGCGCCCTTCCCGCCCTGGTGGCAGCTCTACGGCCACTGGTCCAGCATGGTCCACCAGCAGGGACGAGGCACCAAGCTCGCCTCCGTCATCAGGAAGATCCAGGCCTCGCTGCGCTCCGGTCCCGCAAGTACGCACCGCGCCGCGCCGCGCCGCGCTGGGGAACCGCTCACATAGACGGCACAGCGCTCGTTCACAAACACTTGTCTATCGCGTCTGCCGCTGACACGATCTTAACAGGCCCTGCCTTATCCCTGACCACATTTGGCTTTTCTCGACTGGCGGTCCTCCTACGAAATAGCCGGTGGACGTCAGCTCCAATAGAAATCAACCCCTCCGAGTTGACTGTTAGCGCAGATGTCCCGCCTTTCCCACCGGGGCCTGCCTGTGTTACAGGGACGTGCTCAGTCGCGATGGCGCACGAGCTGGTAGACTGAGTGAGAGCCCAATGGCTAACCCTTTCTTATCTCATGGCCTGAAATGATCTCAATGGACCGAATGGGTCCACTTCAACAGAACAAGGCCAAAAACATGTTGAGGTCGGCAATGTAACTGACGGATAAATGAATGGGCCCCGGTCGCTCCTTAGCGTAGCCATCCAATATCGGTGTGCCAATGGTTTATGCAAGGTGCATATTCATCAATCGATACACCGAAAGTACCTACCTACGTGCATATCCACATGTAGCATGCAGTAAACATGTGCATAGTTCAGAATGATATTCCTGGTGTTCGAAGAATGTTTCATGCACTTGAAAAAACCTGAGTCTCGTTTAGAGCATTTAATTAAGAGCATTGCAGACGAGCGACAAACCAGAATCACAGTGCCCAGTCACAGTTATGGGATCACCGCCCGTTTTGATTTCACAATTCACTTTGAATTCCTGGTAAGATCACATAGGACAAAAGTGCTGCGGATATCAGTACGGCCATGTACGGCAATTGGCGGCTATTTTACTCGGAAGCCTCATACATACGGAAGCCTCATACATACGGCTATTTTACTCGGAAGCCCACCTAAAGTAGGTGGGCAATAGCAAGATAATTGATCACAATGTCTGACTCTGGAGACACGCGGTCATAAGAATAACAAGAACGCGTTTAACGGCGAATTGCTGGATGCGAGTAACAGAACGTCTTACACCACACTGTGTCATTTTCATGATTCAATTAACTCTGTTGAATGGAATCATATATTCCTTAAGGACGGTATTGCTTCTGTGTTTGTGGAGCACTCCGCTGTAGGTACAGGCTGTGGTGCTCCGCCCCCAGGATAGGTATACCTATTCTTCGTCCCGCGCTGTCGGACTCGGACAAATACAAGAGCTGATGATGCAGTCACCCGGGGACGTTTGTACATGCTTGCATCGTAAGCTTACGTGGCTGTTATTCTTGCACATGAATCATGATGCTTTTAACTTGTTTGAACCCTTACCCTCTGTTACAGGGGTCGGCTAACTTTTTTGGGTGTGGGCTGAATTGAATATGAGATTTGAAAGCAGCCGGCGGGCGGAAGCATAGTATTGATTACAATTTGCTACAATCACAGGCAATATTGGGGAATATGACAGCGTTATTGATGGGTTTTTAGTTTTGACAGCACAGCTCACATGCTTTGCATTGTGTCATTATGAAACGTACCTTTTAAGGCAGGCAGACTCTGGCATAGGAAAAAGATAGTTTGAAAACAGAGGGAATGTCTGTGTTCATTTTATTATCTGATCAGATGCCTATAGATACCATTGTAGGAAGAACTACTGTGCCAACGCACACTTAAGTCAGTTTTGTATGGAAAAGAACTCGATTTATGAAGGAACTGCGGGCCGGAACACAATGTTCGTTGCTGATGCCAGCCGCGGGCCGGACGTCAAATGGTCGCGAGTAGGCTGCCGACCCCTGCTCTTTAACAATTTAACCTTCGTTATGAAATATAATATATGTGTACCAGCATAAGGTCGCGCTCACTTTTGCTTCTCATTTGTTAATTATCTGTGTTGTTACACGGCAATCGGTTCGGGGCTTCCCTTTTGTGCTGACACTTTCTGAGCAGTGGGCATTAGTGTCCTTTTTATTGTGTTAATGGCGTGAAACCACGCAAATACGGGCTGCCAGTCGCGTCGCGCACTTAAATATCGCATTTTTACGTGTAGGTGATATCTAATGATCAAGTTGAGTAATTTGAGCCCATCAGATGGTATTTTAATTAGTTGGTACGCTTCATTGCATGCACCTTTTCCGGCGCCGTCACCCAAGGTTTTTGTAGAAGTTAGCCTGTCGGTATTTCAGAAGTTACAACACTAGTGCGTGTCTCGAGTCGTTTTCCAGATGCTCTTGACATATTTTTATTGGCAGTTCCTCCAAGCAACTAGTGAGGTGTTGAACTTGTTTAGAAAAGAACCCGCTGGTCGACCAATGCCCTTCAACGCCCTCCCTTATGTTTAAGCATTCGCGTTAGCTGCATATTAGCCGGTTTGTGACACATCTAATTTATTAATTGCCAATATAATTTTATCGCTATCCCTCAAGGGCTAGTCCTGTGACTATCTTTTTAGTAGCTTTGTGTTCTTGGTTCTGTGGCTACTGGCTACCTAGTATCTCGTAAGGCCGCTTGGTGATAGCATCTCAGAACAAGACAGTATCACCAGCTCGATTGACGGCCGACGCTGGGACAGTATCTACTATCTTCCTTCCGTCGCTCTTTGCGGGGCTGTCGGGTTCCATTAACTCTTCAAACAGTCGGTCGGTTTTACGGCCGTTTATCCAATAAAAGCGTCGTTTGATGAGTTCATCAGCGGGTGATTCGGTTTAAATCCCTCGAGGTTGGTCTGTGTTTCCGGTGGCCGGTAGACGAGCCGGGTATTCAGGCGGCCGTCGGACGGCTGAGACGGGTCTGATCCGGGCATCGGTCGACTGGAGGAGGCCGCAGTCCAAACTGGGCTGACTGGGCCCTAGCCTACTTATCAGCGGGCCGACCCCTGCTGGTTCACTGTGCTGCTAGTGTAGGGAGGTTGCCACGATGCGGCGAGGTTTATTGGTTAGCTTGCAATACTGGCCGAGCGAGTTTCTGTTTGGGGTAGGTAATGTTGTGGGCTTGGGTTGGACCCTCCCCTCCTTCCCTCTCTGCCCATGCAGCGGACCTGTCGACGGACTGACCACTCTCCCTCTCTGTTCTGCCTACAGCGAACCAGTCCACGGACTGACCCCCTCTGTTCTTTCCACAGCGGACCTGTCGACGGACTCCCAGTCCATCAGCAGCGAGGTGTCGCTGACCTCGGGCTCTCCGGGCTCCTCCGCCGAGCTCGACTCACTCGTCACCATCGGCGCCACCGAGGCCACGCCCTACAAATGCTGCTTCTGCGAGCAGGCCTATCCGAGACAGACGCTCATGAAGCTGCACGAACAGGTCAGTGACAGGAGGGGATCGGCAGTGGAGCAGGCCTACCCGAGGTAGACGCTCATGAAGCTGCACGAACAGGTCAGTGGTCCGACGGGGCTCGGAAGGGGAGCGGGAGAGGCAATGTGGAAATCAAGAGAGTAGGTTTTGGTGCGTCTTTGAGTGCTGTATTTGATTAATATTGTTTCATTGTGTGCCTTCCTTACTATTTAATGCATTAATAAACACCGTCTTTAGTAGTTTGAAACAGAAAATGTTGCTGATGAAATCAGCAAGAAGCTGATGCATATGTCGACCATCAACATCTCTCGTGCTTCTTTGCGGTCATTTATTCTGCATTTTGATGTAACTTACCGTCTTCTTATGCTAATTATAGTTATTAACAGTAAGATAAACTAGTGAAAAATATTATTTTCCTACAAGGATGTTACCTATTTTGCTAACAGACCAAACCTTACCTTTCCAAAACTCAGATGTCGCTCATACCAATTTATCAATCTGTAGCCGGAGTCCAGCTGGTTCTGTCCGGCCCAGTGTGGGTCGCTCCCTCCCCGGCCGAGCCCAAATATCGTGTCGATTTCCATCTAAACAGCTCCCAATCTGTATCGGATTGTGACGTGAAAGTGCGCCGTAACGTTAATGAATGAAGTGGCGGGTGGAAATCGGTCGCCACTCGTGAATGCACGCGCGACATTCGGGGTGCGGCGGCGGGACCGCTGAAATTCGGGGGCCACCGTCACGCCAGGAGTTTAGATCGACACGCCAATCTCGGAATGACCGTTTATGCTCATTTGTGAGATTCTGAAATAAGATGATTATGTAAACAAATTATGGAAGAAGGCCATCTCGCCGAGGCAAATAGAATGCTGCCTCTTTTCTGAGATATGGAATCACTTACGTAGTACGTACTCTAACTGAACTGCAGTCCCATTGGCTATTCAGTTTTTATTGTTCTTTATGTAGTGGTGCCTCCTGGTGCTGATCTCCAGAACCGCTGCGCCGATCGTCACCAAACTTTCAGTACCCTCCCGGACATTAATTTTACACATTGTGACAAAAAAAAAAAATTCCAAAGGCTATGATAGGTTGGCCGGAAATGACGTCAGAGTGACGTCATGTTCTGCCGTTTTCGACCCAAACAAGGGTTTCGCGGGAAGAGCTGTCAGGCCTATAGCTTTGCAAATACAGAAAAATGATAAAGACATAAAAGCTGTAGAATCAACAGGGCTACAAAACTGCTATCTCGGATTTTTGAAATTTTGGATTTTGACCCCCAAAAATCAATAAATAATTTTTTTTGATATAATAATCGAAAAATCCAAAAAGTTTTTTGAATTTCGCAAAAACCGGAATATATGTGATAGTCCTTACCGCCTTCCATCTACATACCAAATTTGAGATTGATACCTCTTTTTTTGGCGAATTTTTAGCGAAAAAACTGTTCAAAATTGATGACGTCAAATTTTCAAACTCAATTTTTAGCAATTCTAGACCCCGTAGCGCAAAACAAAGACCATCATTAGACTCCCCGTGACGAGTTGCATCGAATCAATACCCATTTTATGCAAAACTATCAACTTTAAAATTTGACCTTTTTTGCCTGACCTTGACCTGACCTTGACCTGAACTTCACCAGAAAGTGACCTAAGCCGTACTTGATAGTCTTATAACCAACACCATTGAGTTGGTAATGAAAAATTGGCCATAAAACATGCATCACACAACCTTAGTACCTAAAGTTAGGCTCATGTGACCTGACCTGTGACCCTTGGTGACCTGACCTGTGACCTGACCTGGTATTGTCAGTAACCTCTAATACCAACATATCTACTAGGCAACTGACGCCCTATCGCTGATTCTCGACAAAATGCGTTTTCCTCGGTGTTATAGCGCATTCCCTATAAGACCCGTGAACGGTGAAACCGTTCATCTTTGACCTGACCTGTGACGTCATCGGTGACCCCGAGGTCAATGAAATTTGGTTTCCTTCGACAAATTTGACAGACCTTTCGAACGCCGTTTGAATTTTGCGGATCCGTCCAGTAGTTTCGGAGATACGAGGGGGGCAAAAAATAGCCCCCCCCCCCCCCACCAGGTCGCGTTATAAACAGACCCCACCAGGGCGCGGGTTAACGGCCACTGGCCGGTGTCGGCCCGTACCCCGACCCACCCGCTGTCCCTCGCCCCTCCCCCGACCCTCTGACGGTGGTCCTGTTCTTTTCAGACTCACACCGATCAGTTGCCGTTCGAGTGCGAGTACTGCGGTCACCGGTTCAAACACAAGCGCAGCAAGGACCGGCACGTCAAACTGCACACGGGCGAGAAGAAGTTCAAGTGCAAGTACTGTCCGTCCGCCTACTGCCGCAGGTGAGAGCCGAGCCGAAAGGGGAGGGAAGAGACAGGGGGTGGGGGCAAGACTAGACAATGGAGGATGCAACCCTCCAGTAGTTCTCTCGTAGTTCATTCTGAGCCCTCCCGTGCACGGGAGGGTTCAGACGCTAGGACACTACCGGCGTGTAGCTTCGTTAGAGTGGAAGCTACTATCGGCAGGGCTGGGTGATGCAGAGAGCGGTAGAAACCGGGACTTTCTGTGACGGCTTGTCGTGGTTAGGAAGACTAGCGGAGTTTCCGAAACTGAGGGACTCGGGCGCAGATACCCCGACAGAAATGGAAAGGTAAACGTATGGGAGTTCCGCGCACACGAAGGACCATAATTGAGGCGCCCCTGCGGGTGAAATATCGGGGTTCCCAATTCTGCAACTGAGGTGCCCCTACAGGTGGACTCACGGGGTTCCCAACGCTCGGGACCGAAGTTGAGGTGTCCCTACACACTATTCACGTGACGTGGGCCCTGTCCGACTGTCCTATTTACCCAGTTCGTAAGAAATCGGCAGTGACCGTCTCCCAGGAAAACATACCACGGACCGGCAGTGTCGTAAGGCGGACGTCGTAATTAACGATCTCCTCCCTCATAGTGTGAACCGGGCTGAAAATTAGTCATTTAGCCTGCAAGTGTTCGATCGTGTTTGAAGACAATGGCGTCCGGCACATATCGTCACCAATCAGCCTATTTACGAGCTGTTTACGTGTCGCCCGGTATTGCACCATTGTCCCATGACGTGACCACTTTGGCGGCGCACGCGGTGACTTCCCCAAAACCCCGGACCGTACCGGGCTGGGTGGTGGTCGGACATCCCCAGTCTGCACTGCCTCCCCCCCCCCCTCTCCCACCTGCTCAATATAGCGCCCGGTAAATACCGTCGCACAACCCACCAACAAACACACAAACACCAGGATACACTGACGGCCAGTCGGCAGACACCGGACCGAGTCTCTGACACACACGGGGGGCCGGTTAGTGACGCGGCGCGGCCCGGCCGGGAGGGAGCGTGCCCCCGTGACGTCACGGGAAGGGCCGTCTGGGTGGCCGTGACGTCACCGCTATGTGCCCATTGTCGACGCTCGGGTGCACTACGGGCTCGTCCGAGTGGAATGGGGTGCTGATTTACCTTGTTTGGTTGTTGTTAGTTTTGTGTGTTAGTGTAGCAAATACTCACGGCTGGGAATCAATGTATGTATGGTCGGCTAAGTTGTCTGGTGAAATCGTTGCTTCCTTACCAGCGTTACACAGCTACTAACTCCCTGCTCCCCGTTCTGCCGCCAGTGACCACCTCAAGATCCACATGCGCACACACGACAGCCAGAAGCCGTACCAGTGTTCGGTGTGTAACCGCGGCTACAGGACGGCGGCGGCACTCACATCGCACCTACAGAAACACAAGGACCGCGAGGCAGCGGCGGCGGCGGCGGCGGCGGCGGGGGACCGGCAGCCGCAGCCGTACCGCTGTCTGAAGTGTGCCGCCACCTACCCCAGCGGCGAGGCGCTGCAGGTGAGCTCCTGCCAGCTGACGGAGATGAGAGCTGTTATCTGACACGGAGATCAATTTGTGATGATGAAAATTTTCTGTCTTGCCTAGCCATAGGTTAGGAATATTTCTCGAAAGTCAACGTATGTGTAGAATCAATTTCTAACCTGAACGTATTTTCGACAGACAAACCTGGCCGTTTCGAGCAGCAGACGATACAATGCGCCCGTCTTGCGTCGAATGCTGGTAGATCGCTCGCTATCCATTATTTGCCACTCGCCTCCTCTATAACACTACTCGAACTTGTCATCCTATTTCGTCAAGCGTCTCCGCTCCCGTCTCCTGACATCACCCCTCCCGTGCTTCTCCACAGGAGCACGTGCAGGCGGCGCACGGCGGCACGCCGCGGCCGCCCAAGACCAGCTCTGCCGGCAGTCCGGGCGGCGAGTCGGCCGCTGGGGCGGGGGCGGGGGCGGCGCCGCCCCTGCCGCCGCCGCCGCCACCCGGATGGGACGAGTGGTCCTGTCCGTACTGTGACCGGCCGAGCCGCTTCAGTAACGTGGAGGCGCTCTCCTATCACATACAGACCCTGCACAGTGAGTGGAGACCGGCCGGGGAGTGACCTGTGTGCCGGGGAGGTGGCTGAGGGACCAGGGGTTATCGTTACATGTGGTGTATTGGGACAGCCACGCTGAGCAATCGTTAATTTCAACGGAGAAAGGCTTGCATCGTGCGTCAGACGCTTGGCGTTGTGAAGGAACTTTTAACGTGGATGTTAATGTGTCGCTCGTGACACCTGCTCTGTTCACCTGTAGTATGTTTCTGACCTCCTTTTCCATCTCCCCCTCTCCCCGTTGCAGTGCCGCTGATGATGCCGTCGGTGGAGAGCCCGCTGCTCGGCTACGGCCTGCCGCTGGTGCCTCTCAAGGCGCCCCTCTCCCCCATCCACCTGGTCTCGCCGCCGGCCGGTGACGGACGCACCTCCGTCAAACCGTTCACCTGTATGCTGTGTTCTGCGGCCGTGCCGGACGCGGCGGCGCTCATCAAACACATCCAGACGGCGCACGCGGCCGGCGCCTCCCCCGCCCCGGCTCCGGCCCCTCCGGTGCCCGCGGCCCACTCCGAGTCGAAGCGCTCCCCGGCGCCGGCGGAGCAGCCCACCGACCTCAGCCGGCGCGCCAAGAGGGCGCGCAGTAACGGCGAGCCGGCCAGCGCGGGCCCGGCGGCGGCCGGCGGCGCCGAGTCGCCCGTCATCTGCAGCCTCTGCGGCCAGCCATTCACAGAGTTCGAGGCGTACCGCGTCCACTTCCAGACGACGCACCTGGACGGCGCGGCGGCGGCGCCGCTGGCCTGCGACCAGTGTGGCCAGCAGTTCAGCGCCGCCGCCCAGCTCGAGACCCACCTGGCCTCCCACCTGCAGGTGACCGCCGTCCGGTACGCCTGCCAGCGATGCCAGCGCTCCTACCGGACGGCAGATGAACTACAGAAACACCTCACCGACCGGCACGCCCAGACGCTGTTTAAGTGCACCATCTGTCACGCCACGTTCGACTCACGGGTGGACGTGCAGGTGCATTTTGCCGTGAGTCACAGCGATGAGCTGCGCGTGCACTCGTGCTCAGCGTGCGGGGAGGAGTTCTCGGACGAGCCGGCCTTCATGCGCCACCTAAGGGCGGTTCACATGAGCGCCGCCAAGTCGTTCCCGTGTCTGCTCTGCGGCCAGCACTTTGATCAGCTGTCGGCGTACAAACAGCACGTGCAGAAACACCAGCGCAACTTTCAGTGTAAGATCTGCGGCGAGGCGTTCTACGTGGAGTTTCAGCTGGACCGGCACGTGCAGACGGCACACGCCAGGGAGCTCAAGGTGGCCAACGGCGAGCCCCGACCACCGCCGAAGAAGCAGCGCGGCGGGGAGGCGCTCCCCGCCCCTCCGCCGCCGCTGCAGTTCGCCCTCCCGCCGGTCGGGCTGGACGTGGATCTGAACCCAGCCTTCCCCTCCGCGCGGCACAAGTGTAACATCTGTGACTCTGTGCAGCCGACGGCGCGCTCGCTGGCTGAACACAAACTGGTGCACTGTAAGGTGGTGCACAGTGAGGTGTGCGCGGTGTGCAAGGGCGCCGTCCGCTCGGCAGCCGGCTACCGGCAGCACATGCAGCAGCACAGCGCGCCCAGCTTCCCGGTCTCGTGTGTCATCTGCCAGCAGACGCTGGTATCAGATGTCGAGGTAGGAATTCACGCCGAGTTTCACCTTCGCCGGGTCGCGGCGTCTCCGCCCACCCCGCAGCAGCAGCAGCAGCCGGCGGCGGCGCCCGCGGAGACGGCGGCCGCCAAACGGTGCTCCCAGTGCGCGGTCAAGTTCGAGACGGCCGCCGAGGCGGAGGGACACGTGTGTGCGGCTCGTGCGCCGGCGCGCCGCGAGCTCTACCAGTGTCTGATGTGCCAGCAGACGTACTCGGACCAGGAGCAGATCCGGGAGCACATCGCCACCCACCTGCTGGAGAACGCCAGTCACGCCTGCAACCTGTGCCAGCTGACGTTCGACACGCCGCTGAAACTGCAGATCCACCTGATCGAGCACAACTTCGAGGGCTGCGGCAGCTACAGCTGCTACATCTGCAGCGCCGTCTTCACGGCCGCCGCCGGACTCCAGAAGCACATGGTCGAACACGGCATCGAGGTGAAGCCGTTCGACTGCCAGCAGTGCCACCAGAGGTTCTTTTTCCGCACGGAGCTGGACAACCACGGCTTCCTGCACCGGATCGAGGGCTCTGTGCGGCGCGTAGCGGCTGGATCACCGGCGGCCGGCGCGGCGACCGCCGCGTCCTCTGCAGAGCCGGCGACAGCGTCATCTAGGGAGTCCTCAAAGGCGGCATCGAGAGACTCTAAATCGTCCCCGGACGTGGCGCCCTCGCCGGCCGGTGAGGAGACGGCAGCGCCACCTGTGGACGCGGTAAAAACGGAAGACGAGTCGGTCAAGTCTGAGGAGCCGGCCTCCGGGTCCCCGCCGGGGCGGGAGGAGTGTGGGGAGGAGTCGGAGGACGGCGGGTCCCCGGAGGAGCGGACCGTGTCCCCGCGGGGGGACGGCTCCGGCTCCGGCTCCGGGGGCCGCTGTGCGGACCAGGAGCCGGCCGCCGGCCGGCCGGCCGTGATCAGCGTTCACTCGGTGTAGCACAGCGAGTTATAGCGGACACCGCACGGCGCCACGCGCCAGAGGACCCCACCGGGGGCAGCGGAGGTGTGTCCAGAGAGGGGGTGTATTTATTGAAACTGTCCGTGGCCACACCGGCCAGCGCCGGGGGCCGTTAGAGAGCTGCTATGTCTCTATCAGTTGTTATACGCCGATCCGCGCGGCTCAGCCGTGGTGACGTCACAGCGACCCGAGGCGGCGTATCGAGTGTTTATTTGCTATCGAGATATATTTTACGGGAGAATTGGGTGCTGGGAGCACAGGTCAAGGCAACTGTACAAAAATGCATTTGTTTTGTGCAAGCCATTGTTGATTGAAAGCTTTGTGTACAAATTTTTAATAAATGCACTAAATGTTACGGTTGTTTGCACTACTGATTTGCGTGCCAACGCCCTTGTCACTTTTTATTCATCTATTTAACGCGCGAGGAGCTGTTGTCAAGTAGAACATCACACAGTGCGATTAAGTGTTCTCCGAAATAGATCGGACCGTTCGATAAATAAAATTCCGCAAGACATTTCACAAGAAAAATCACCGCAACTGAGTGTTATATATCAGTTTTGCGCATTTGGATTCGGCGACAACTAAATCAGCTCGCTAGAAAATAGTAGAACACGGTTAATTTTTCACAATTACAGCATGACCTACGAGTGAAAAACCTTTGCTGCTAGAGCGCCGACCCTTGGGTCAGCACATCTTCCGGTTGCTGCTGGTGAATAGCTCGTACCTAAAAATGAATGATCACAGAGCTGCAATTTTAAGGCTGTCATGTTCGTCATTTTCAGGCTCGTCGAATGACGTGCTTTTGTTTGGGGAAGCTCAACTCGGATGTTGACCTTAGGTCAAGGTCAGGGCAAGGACGCTCATGGTTAAAAAGAAGTTAGTTGATGGAGGTCATGTAGCATATTATTCGAATCAATACAGTTCATTCTGAGAGCTGGTGCATTCCCCAATTCGGTAACTCAAATTGGTTCGGAGTTACCGACGGAAAACTCCGATAACCGAAACTTGACACTAGTTAGGTCATGCAAGGTCAACAATGCAAAATGGCCTTAGGATTATGCTTTTAAAAGAAATGGTCAATTTGCTGATTCTTGATTACGGTGTTATGATAAAACTCAGACCTCTTCTGTCAAATGCAAATTAATAACTAATGATACGAACAAATAGTAAAGTTAATCAACAAATGATTTCATTGAATAAATTATATGACATGAAAAACAAATGAGCAAATGAATGATGAATTACGTTTCGATTGTTTTAAAAATGTTTGGATGAATGAAACGGCTACTCGACGTTTGGTAAATAATTTAACGCCCTCAATGCATTAATGAAACTGGGAAACGTCTATTTCCTCGCTCGTCAATTCACTCGTCACATTTACACAATCACTCGTTAATAATTTCGCTTATTACACAGCAGAGCCTATTTTAAGGGAATTTGACTGGGGGGGCAACCTGGAAAATTGTCTTTAATAATCCATTAACCCTCGCCCGTATTGGTGTTTTCCAGCTGCGAACGTATAGGTATGGGGGGTCCGTTGGACCCTCCCCCTTGCCGTTTCGCCCCTGATCGAGCCAGAGCTTCGCGGAAAAAAAACGACCGTGCTGCCCGTGATGACAGTAAGCCGATGATACCCAATTTTAAGGTCCTAGGTCATCGGTTAACCTTCCAGGTCAGGTCAATGACCCAAACGTCGGGAAAATCGTAACCTGTTAGAGCGTCGTAAAGGGTGGGTGCTATGTTTTTTTTTTCGCGGAGCTGATCACGAATATCATGTTAGTACTTAGTTATGATCATACATGATGTCTTCATGCATTCAGGCCAGGTCGGGTCAGGTCAGGCTCAGGTCAGGTCAACCAGTAAGCGTTTTGCCGGGTATTCGTAGTAGGTGGCAACCGCCTCTGACAGTTTCGTAACATGTTACGAAGGCACCAAAACTACTTCGTAAACGGTCAAATGGTTGCTAAATTCGAATTCAGCTAAAAAAAAAACTAGCCTAGAAACGTATAAAACTCGAAAATGTGAACCGAGGTCATCAAAGGTAAATGACCTGACCTGACCTTCCGGTGACCTTGACACCCACCCTAATGCATGGGAGCAACATCATATCCCATGTTTGAACGTTTGAAACCACGAAAAGACTGCAAACGCGCGGCTAATGCGAGGCGACATACGCCGAATCGCGATCCCGGCCAAACATGGTGCCATGGTGCTAGGCCGCCAGTGCATCTGAAAGAACTGTGGTGCCCCTGACAAGCCTGAGGCTCTAACGACAGGCCCATGGTGCCCCTGACAGGCCCATGATGCCCTTGCGAGGCCGGTGGTGTCCCTGCTAGGCCGATGGTGCCTCTGCTAGGCCGCTGGTGCCCCTGGGCCCTGACAGGACTGTAGTTCTCCTGACAAGCCTGGAGTGTCCCCGACATGCATGTGGTGCCACTAACAGGTCCAAGGTGTCCCTGCGAGGCCGCAGGTGCCCCTGTCAGGCATGTGGTGTCCCTGCTAGGCCTCTGGTGCCCCTGACAGGCCTTAGGTGCCCCTGAAAGGACTGATGGTGTCCCTTGGCCCTGACAAGCCTGAGGTGCCCCCGACAGGCCCGTGGTGTCGCTGACAGGTCCGTGGTGCCCTTGCTAGGCCTGTGGTGCCTCTGGCAGGCCTGTGGTGCCCCTGGCGGGTCTGTGGTGGTACCCCTGACAGGTCCAATGTGGTGCTCCTGCGAGACCGGTAGGGCCCCTGGCAGGTCTGTGGTGCCCCTGGCAGAATGCATGTGCGAGGCGACATACGCCGAATCGCGATCCCGGCCAAACATGGTGCCATGGTGCTAGGCCGCCAGTGCATCTGAAAGAACTGTGGTGCCCCTGACAAGCCTGCAGTATGCAGTATGCATGCAAATGTATTAAATGTATAGATGAAAGAAAAAATGTTTTATAAAATCGATTAATTTCGAATTCGCATTTTCAGAGGCCCCAAATAAACTTCGTGTGACTATCAACTTTGCATCTCGAAAGGGCCGAGCGGCGAAAACAACCGCGGCTCTGAGCGGGTCCCGAAAGGCTTAGCGCTAGACGGGGCACCCACCCGGAGAATAAAAGGCCGGGACCAGAAAGTGGCCTCATTTCCAGCACTGCTCCCAACAGGCCTGTGGTGCCCCTGACAAGCCGGTGGTGCTCCTGGCAGGCCTGTGGTGTCCCCGGGACCCAAGGGGGCGGGGGGGGGGTCATGACCCATATGACCCACCCTTGGATCCACCACTGGTCATTACTTGCAGACTGACTCATTTGACATCCATTGCAAAACAAGTCACAGTAGTATGTTTGTTACCCTGTTCCTTTATGCTCATTTTTAAAGTGGGCAAATCTCGACAACTGGGGGGGCAATTCTGTTGAGTGCAGGGGCATTTGCCCCCCCCCAGTTAACATGTTAAAATAGGCCCTGTTACACAGAGGAGACGAGGATCTTTATCGACCCACGTCTTACATGTGAAAATGCTTTGAGTGACGGCAAACTGACATAAGGCCAGTAGACTCTGCCAGACCTTGTACAACTGGCCCTTGCAGAGTTTATTTAACGTCCAGTACGCGTTTTAAAATTTGTTAGGCATTTGAACATAGGAACGTCCACGATGTTGACGTTTAACCGCGTTAAACACATCATTCGCGGCACGATGTGCATTCATTGTAATTGACCCGTTTCCAGTGCCGGATAAACTAAATAATTAAATCGGTCGCCACGAGCAAACAAAAGGAATTACAGTGTTATAAATTTTAGATAACTTTTAGTTCGTTAAAATTACTTTTTGCGTTCAGTGTAAGATAGGAATCCAAATATCGACATGTAACTTCTTTAGACGACCTCGCAATGAAAGCAAATTTGTCATCATTTGAATGATTAATAATGCGTGAAGTTGGGATTTAGGTAGGCGTTTTCCGCGTTCGTACCGAATGGGGAATGCCCAAATAAACGAAGAAAGCTGCTGCACTATATAACAGGCTGTCGTCACTCGTCTGTTAGACGTTGAAATGTTAAATATATAAGAAATTTTAAACGTCAAGTAGTCGCTTCACATCTCATTTATACAACACTCGGTATTTTCGTTTATTGCTCGTTGCTCAATGATCAACACTGTGTTCAGGTGCGCGCTAAAATATTCTTTATGTCAGGCCCTCCGGCGATGAGACATTTAAGAAAGACATCCATGTACTCTGCATACGGAAGTTTTAGTAGAAGTACCCAGGGCTGCGCAGTCGGAGTCAGAGTCGCAGTTGGAGTCTGTCGGAGTCAACAGTTCTGCCAGGAGTCGGAGTTGGAGTCGCCAAAATCTTACCGGCTCCGACTCCGGAGTCGGAGTTAACGCTGCATGGCTCAACGTCATGCATTGCACCTGTTGGATTGATGATATTGCGCTCGAAATTATATTTTGCCAAAAAAAAGAGGTCATTTTGCTGCTTTGGACGAACGCTTCAATTTCAGCGAAAGAAGCAGAAGACGGCAAATCCCCCAGAACCTGCTTTTTAATTCTGCATGTTATTTTTAATGCATATTTGCAACGCGAAACCTTGGAACGCTCAAGGGCTCATTTCAGGCAAGATAAAAGCATATCCATTATGAGCTTATCATGTTATGGATTTTTCATGTTAATAAAACCGTTCGCAGTCGGAGTCGGGGCTGGAGTCGGTGTCGGAGTCGATTTTGGAAGTCGGAGTCGGTGTCGGAGTCGGAAAGCCATCGACTCCGCAGCCCTGGAAGAACCTACGTACAACCTAAAACCTTTGATGTAAGCGTTTTCTAACAATAACGGTTTTTAAGTACCTATCTGATCTACCTAACTGTTTAGCATATCAAGACAGCAAGTAAGAGCGCTTAATATTAGACGGTTTATCGGATTTGATTAATAGTAGGGACCTTATAAATTATGCGGTTCACGATCATTTTCGCACACCTGTGTTTGAGTAGGTAAGTACAATAGCACTGATATAACTGCACCAACTGATTTGATTTAGGGACGACCGAAGTGAACGGTGAATAACAAATGATAAGCGAATGACAGAAAGCGGGATTGAGGTAGAGAGACAGAGAGAAGGAGGCAGAGGGAGAGAGAGAGAGAGAGAGAGAGAGAGAGAGAGAGAGAGAGAGGGAGAGAGAGGGAGGGAGGCAGAGGCAGAGGCAGAGGCAGAGACCCGGAGAGGAGGCCGCCGGCGAAAGTCGACCTCCTAACCCGGCCCGTGGCGGCCGGCCGCTTCGCTCGGTCGGGTCCGTACGTTTAGACGGCGCCTCGGTCGGTATAGACGGTTCGCCGGGCCTACAACACGGCGAACACGGAACGCCGAGGCTCTGCCGTGGCCGATAACTACTGAAGGC